ATATATATTTATATCTTTATATTATTTATTTAAATAGTTATATATATATATATATATATTTGTATGTATATATTTATATTTATATTTATATTTACTTATATTTATATTTATATCTATACTTATATTTATATTTATATTTATATTTATATTTATATTTATTTATATTTATTTATATTTATTTATATTCTTCAGGGACATTCAGTGAAGTCGCTGCTTATGAATTCACAACGTTAACATGCGTCCCCGGGGTGTTTTATTATAAAGGCGCCAAAGTGCAGCTTCTCGATCTACCAGGAATTATTGAAGGTTAGTTTTATGGTTTATGGTTTAGGGTTTAGGGTTTAGGGTTTAAGGTATTTTAATGATACGGCGACCACCGAGATCTACACTCTTTCCCTACACGACGCTCTTCCGATCTTTTTATGGTTTATGGTTTAGGGTTTAGGGTTTAGGGTTTAAGGTATTAGGGTTTAGGGTTTAGGGTTTAGGGTTTAGGGTTTAGGGTTTAGGGTTTAGGGTTTAGGGTTCTTTAGGGTTATTGGGTTTAGGGTTTAGGGTTTAGGGTTTAGGGTTTAGGGTTTAGGGTTTAGGGTTTAGGGTTTAGAGTTTAGGGTTTGGGGTTGGGGGGGTTGTCTAGCTGGGGTTGAGGGTTTTGGGTTTAGCTAGCTAGCAAGCATCCTAGCTACTCATCCAGTCAGCCAGCTAGCATTCGAGCTAGCTAGCAATATAGCTAGCTAGCTAGCTATCTAGCTAGTCATATAGCCATATAACTAACTAGTAAGCTAGCTAGCCATATAGCTAGCTAGCTAGCTAGCTAAGTAGGCAGCTAGCCACTTATCTAGCTAGCTAGCTAAGTAGGCAGCTAGCCATTTATCTATCTAGCTAGCTAGCTAGATAGGCAGCTAGCCACTTAAGTAGCTAGCTAGCTAGCTATCTAGCAGCTAGCTGGCTAGCTAGCTAGCAATTTAAGTAAATTGTTGCGTTTGTTTGTGTGGTTTGTTTAGGCGCAAAGGATGGGAAGGGTAGGGGGCGTCAGGTGATAGCAGTTGCACGAACATGCTCTTTAATTTTAATTGTTTTAGATGTGCTAAATCCTCTGACGCATAAACGTATAATCGAGAAAGAGTTAGAGGGCTTTGGGATACGCCTCAATAAACAACCGCCTAATATCACACTCACTAAAAAAGATAAAGGTATGCTTCGATATACAACAATAAACCCTAAACCCTAAACCCTACGGGGTCCACAAACCCTAAACCCTAAACCCTAGGGGGGGTCCACAAACCCTAAACCCTAAACCCTACGGGGTCCACAAACCCTAAACCCTAAACCCTAGGGGGTAGACGAACTTTAATATGTAAACCCTAAACCCTCGTTGGGCTTCTTATTACACACTGTATTCAACTCGAAACCCTAAACCCTATTGTTTTATTGTTATGTTTATTGTTTCTTGCTTTGTTTGTTTTTGTTATTATTATGATATAATAAAATAAACTTTAATTGTTTTGTTTATTAGGGTTGAGGGTAAAGAATAGCAGAATTATGCTGTATTATTTGCGTATAAGAGGTTTATTATATAATTACTTGTACTGCTTCTCATAATAATATTATTTTTATAAATATATATATTTATATATTTGTTTTTATTTATCTAAATATATATATATATATATATATTGATATAAGTAAATAAATAAGTATATATATGTATATTGATATAAGTAAATAAATAAGTATATATATATATATATACATTGATATAAATAAATATATATATATATATATTATATATATTTGTGTTTGTTTTTGTGTGTAGGGGGTATAACAATAACTCACACAGTACCATTGACGCATTTAGACGAGGAGACAATTCGTTCGATATGTATGGAGTACCGTTTAATTAACTGTCAAGTGTCTCTACGTTGCAATGCTACAGCAGATGAACTAATAGATGTTATTGAAGGAAATAGATTATATGTCCCTTGCATCTATGCTATTAATAAGATTGATCAAATAACAATCGAAGAACTCGATATCTTAGAACAAGTCCCTCATTATGTACCCATTTCTGCAAATCTAGAGGTAAACCCTAAACCCTAAACCCTAAACCCTAAATGCTAAACTTTTAACCCTAAATGCTCTTCTGCATAGTATCATTCGTATTGCATGGTGTATACATAGCGGGAAGGGTTCATTTTTGCGTATATGGGGTGAGGAGAGAGGGTTTAGGGTTTAGGGTTTAGGGTTTAGGGTTTGGGGTGTATGCACAGTTGAATTTGAACGCTTTTTTGGAAAAGATATGGAAGTATTTGTCCTTATAGTTTATTGTTTATTGTTTATTGTTAATATTTTAGTGTTTAGGGCTAAGAGGTTAGGGTTTAGGGTTTAGGGCTAAGAGGTTAGGGTTTAGGGTTTAGGGTTTAGGGTTTAGGGTTTAGGGTTTGGGGTGTATATGCAGTTGAATTTGGACGGTTTATTGGAGAAGATATGGGAGTATTTGTCTTTAGTTCGGGTGTATACGAAGCCAAAAGGACAGATCCCAGACTATTCAGCGCCGGTGATTCTACCCTCTACTCGCTGTAAAGTTGAAGACTTTTGCATGCGTATACATAAGTCTCTTTTAAATGAGTTTAAACAAGCAATTGTTTGGGGTAGAAGTGTTAAACATAATCCTCAAAAGGTAGGAAAAGAACATCAACTAGAAGATGAAGATGTTGTACAAATTATTAAAAGATAAAAACTTTTGAAGTTCAAAGGGTTTTACTTATTTTACTCTTTCTTCAACAAACCCTCTCTCTATATTAAATCCTTTTGTCTATTTAACTCTTTTGTCTATTAAACCCTTTTGTCTATTCAACCCTTTTGAACCCTAAACCCTAAACCTTTCTAAACCCTTCTAAACCCTTGTAAACCCTTGCAAACCCCTACTAATAACTCTTCTAAGCCCTTTTACTAAACCCTACTCTTATACCCGTTTACTAAACCCTTTCAAGCAATTCTGAAGCCTTTATAAACCCTCATTAACCCTCATAAACCCTCATAGTTCCCTAGACACCCCAATAAACCCTTATACACCCCACAAACCCTCATCGCAATAAACTTTCATTTAAAAATTAAAAAACAATTTGAGGGTAAACCCAAATTAACACTCACAAACAAAATTCTATTTCTAAATAATTATCTACTCAAAACAAATTCAAAACCCGTATGCATACAATTGCCTGCATTTGCATGCATGCTTTTGCATGCATGCATTTGGATGTATGCATTTGTATGTACCTGCATGCATGCATTTGAGTGCATGCATTTGCATGAAGTTTTGGGGCTTTCACGAGGCAGGAGAAACTTTTAGTTTCCCTCCCTCAAACAGCAAAAAGCCCCAAGTGCATGCATGCAAAAAGCATGCATTTGCATGCATAAATCTGCATGCATTTGTCTGCATGCATGCATGCATGCATGCATGCAATTGCATGCATTTGTTTGTGGGGCTTTTTTGGATTGAAATGAATTCTTTTTTAGAATTCTCCCTTCTCTAAGGCGTCCAGCACCTGCAGCAAACAGCAAAACGATAGAAGCAGCAAACTGCTACGCACGAGTTGCTGCTGCTGCTGCTATAGCTTCTAATATTAACACTGTTGCTGCTGTTGCTGCTCTTTCTGTTACTGTTGTTGCTACTGCAAACACTGCTGCTGCTGCTGTTGCTGCTTGTGCTAGCGTTTGTGCATCTGCTGCTACCACTGCTCCTGCTGCTGCTGCTACTGCTAAAACTTCTGCTGCTACTGCTACTGCTGTTGGTGTTGCTGCTGCTGCTGTTGCTGCACCTCCTTTCTTGTGCGCGTTGCTTCATCGAGGTGTTTTTCAAGAAAGTCAGCAAACTGCCAAGCCTCCAAATCAAACGGAACCTGCAGCAGCAGCAGCAGCAGCAGCAGCAGCAGCAGCAAGAGTATTTCTTCACTTGCTGTCGAACACCCAGAAGCAGCGCAGCAGCAGCACCAGCAACAACGGCAATATGAGCAGCAGCAGCAGCAGCAAGAGCAAAAGCAGGAGCAGCAGCAGTAGACGCAACAATTGGAGTAGCAGCAACACCACAAGCAATAGCACCAGTAGCAGCAGCAGCAACAACAGCAGCAACAGTACGAGCATCAGCACTAGCAGCAGCATCAGCATCAACAGCAGCACGACAAGCAGCATACGCCCTAGCAGCCGCATCAGCAAGAGCAGCAGCAGCAAGAGCAGCAGCAGCAGCAGCAGCAGTAGGAGCAGAAACAAGAGCAGCAGCAGCAGCAGCAGAAACAAGAGCAGCAACAAGAGCAGCAGCAGCAAGAGCAGCAACAAGAGCAGCAGCAGCAGCAGCAGAAGCAGCAGCAGCAGAAGCAGCATTAGCTTACCTCAATCATCCCTGCTTCTTTAATAAGTCTATATTGTTTATTAATTAAAATAGGAATAGGCGGTTTGTTTGTCTTCAAAGAATGCAGCAAAAGATGCAGCAGCATCTTACAAGCAAATGAAGTAGAGTTTACACCGCAGATTTTTTTGAGGCCTTCCTGAACAAAGTTTAATATAAAAATAAAAATATAATTATATCTTTATTGCTATTTATTTTGTTGTTGTTGTGGTTATATCTTTATTGCTATTTATTTTGTTTTATTTTATTATTTTGTTGATTGGTGCTATTATTGTTTAATATTAATTGTTTAATTAAAGAAATAAAAATATAATAATATCTTTATTGTTATTTATTTTATTTTATTATTTTGTTAATTAGTGTTATTATTATTGTTTAATATTAATTTTATTAAATAAGGACAGAAGAAACAAATTGTATGTCTACTATTATTTATTTACTTAATTTAATCTAATTTATTATTATTATATTTAATAATAATAAATTATTATATTATATTTATTATTATTATTATTATTATTATTATTATTATTATTATTATTAAACAAAGAAGAAAGCAAATTACATCTGTATTGAGGGTTTAGGGTTTATTTTGCGATCATCGTTTAGGTTTAAAAGCATCATTAGGGTTTAGGGTTTAGGGTTTAGGGTTTGCCCTTCTTTCTTTTTACGGTTTACGATATATCATTAGGGTTTATGATATATAGCTTATCGTTAGGTTTTAGGTTGTAGGGGTCAGGTTTATGGTTTAGGTTGGACGGTTTAAGGGTCCGCCCTAGGGTTTAGGGTTTAGGGTTTAGGGTTTACTTGCCTCTCGCTGCTCAGGAGACAGGCTGGGGTGTACATACAGCAACTCTGGGTTATAGCCTCCTTCACTTACTGCAACCTTCTGCTGCAGCTCTGCAGCATCAGGCGGAGGCCTTGCGGGGTCGGGCCCGAACTGTCTGTACACCTGAACTCCAAACCCTAAACCCTAAACCCTAAACCCTAAACCCCAAACCCTAAACCTTAAACCTTAAACCCTAAACCCTAAACTCGAAAACCTAAACCTTGAATGCTAAACCCTAAACCCTGATGTTCCGATCAGTTGAAAGCCTCAGACAAACTGAGGGAGATATTCCCCCATCCATTTATTTTAAAACCCTAAACCCTAAACCCTAAACCCTAAACCCTAAACCTTCAATCCAGTTAAGCGCTCACTATTTTCTCTGCTCGCTGGCGGACTCGCGCGAGTTTGCGCTTCCTTGTCTTTTTGTTCTGTCAACACAAACCCTAAACCCTAAACCCCAAACCCTAAACCCTAAACCCTAAAGAAGCAAACAGCCTTCCACTTCACCCCCCAACATGAGAATGTCTTTGTTCTTTTTGAATGCACGTGAGGGCACACTGTGTCGTAAAGGGGAGACAACCAAGGGTTTATTAGGGTTTAGGGTTTAATAGGGTTTATTAGGGTTTAAAAGGCTTTATTAGGGTTTATTAAGGTCTATTGGGGTTTATTAGAGCTTCCTAGGGTTTACAATAGATTATTATTATTATTTAATATGGTTGATGAGGGTTTATTAAGGTATAAAGGCCCTATTAAGGTTTATTAGGGTTTAAAGGGGTTCATTAAAGCTTATTAGGGTTGATTAGGGTTTAGGGTTTAGGGTTTAGGGTTTGTACCTTGGTCCGAAGGGCATCCTCTGTGAGTTTCAATTCGTACTTGCGGAAGCAGCGCCTCATTGCACGTATCCGTCTGTAGATGAAAGCAATGTTTTAGGGTTTAGGGTTTAGGGTTTAGGGTTTGAGGAGCTAGGAGGGCGAGCGTAAGGGACTACAATCAAGGGTTTAGGGTTTAGGGTTTAGGGTTTACGCAATATATTTGACGTCCTGTTGGTAGAGAGCGTCTTTAAATGCAAGTTCATCGATTTGCTGCTCAAAGAGATTGGCCATAGCCTCTCTGCGCACCAAAACCCTAAACCCTAAACCCTAAACCCTAAACCCTACGCATAAACCCTTAGAGTCGCGGCCGCAGCTCCTAGCAACAACTCCTAATGAAGAAGTTTTGGGGCTTAGGGCTTTCTAGGGATTAGCGTTTGTTAGGGCTTAGGGTTTGCTAGGGTTTAGGGTTTGCTAGGGTTTAGGGTTTAGGGTTTACCTCTCTTTATACTTTGGAGTAAGCAGAGGGGCTGCATTAGGGTTTGGCTCGAGCGGCATTTGTACTCCCTCAGCAGCAGCCCTCAGTCGCAAGTATAAACTGAAAGCAAAACCCTAAACCCTAAACCCTAAACCCTAAACCCTCGAGGGATTTGCGCTGTGCATGCAACACTCTTTCTTCTTCTTCAGCTTGTTTGTGGTGCGAGGAGCTGCGCATCGAGCCCCAGCTTCTACGCTTGAGGGTTTAGGGTCTAGGGTTTAGGGTTTAGGGTTTAGGGTTACTTCTCTACAATTGCTTCGACTTGGGAGCGGGGGATTTCTGAAGGCAAGGAGTGGAGGTGTATATGCACCGGCCGCACCCGCTGCTTTTTTGTTTGCTGCTGCTGCTGCTGCTGTTGCTGTTGCTGCTGCTGTTGCTGCTGCTGCTGCTGCTGCTGCTGCCGCACTGTGTCTAAGGCATCGAATTGTTCTGCTGCAGCAGCGGTTTGCTGCTGCGGCAGGAAGAAGGTGATGGTTTTACCCACAAAGGGGACTTTGTTTTGTAGCTGCTGCTGCTGCTGCTGCTGCAGCAGCAGCTGCTGCAGCAAGTCTACATAGGCGTTGAACTGAGATAAAGAAGAGACATTTACTTGGCGGGCCTCCGCAGGGAACTCCTGGGTGAGATCTGTGCATACACCCAAACACACTCTTGCTGCTGCTGCTGCTGCTGCTGCTGGTACTGCTGCTGTGGCTGCTGCTCTTGATGCTGCTGTTGGTGCTACTCTTGGTGCTGCTATTGCTACTGCTGCTGCTGCTGTTGCTGCTTGTGTATCCTCGTGGTAATGCTGCTGATGCCGCTGCATACCCAGCAGCAGCAACAGCAACAGCAGCAGCAGCAGCAGCAGCAGCAACAGCAGCAGCCTCACCTGGATGAACTTTTAAGAAGAAGAAGCGAAGCTGTCTCCGCAGCAGCAAGCCTTTCGGTATCTGCTGCTGTCCTCGGTTTCTGCTGCGGCCTGTAGTTTGTGTGTGCATAGCAGCAGCAGCAGCAGCAGCAGCAGCAGCAACAGCAGCAGCAGCAGCAGTAGGGGGCCAGTATAGGTTGATCTTTCCAATACTTGCAGCAAAGGACGGCATTGTGGGGCCCCTCAAGCTGCTTCTCGATTGAACCCAGGGGCCCCCTTGGGGGCCCCTATTGCAAAGGGTACTGGGGGGCCCCCTGGGGGCCCTTACGCTCCCTTTAGGGGGCCCCCCATAACTCTGGGGGCCCCTACCTATTAGGGGGCCTCCTCTAGTACCCAACTGTACCACTAAGGGGCCCCAATAGGGGGCCCCTAGGGGCCTCATTGCCTCTACTAAACGCCGCTAGGGGCCCCCTATATACAACGGGGGGGGCCCCAAGGGCCTCACAAAGGCCCCCAGGGGGCCCCTTCACAGTACCCTATTCAAGACCTTCTTCAGGGCCCTTGGGGGCCCTTCTGACTTTATATTTGATGAAGGTAACAAAGATGTGTAGAAACTGCTGTTGCTGCTGCTGTTGCTGTTGCTGCTGCTGTTGTTGCTGCTGTTGTTGCTGCTGCTGCTGAGGTTGTTGCTGCTGATGCTGCTGTTGTTGTTGCTGCTGCTGCTGATGCTGCTGCTGCTGCAGCTGCTGCTGCTGGTACAGGCTGGTCTGGGGGGCCCCCTAGCAGCCGTTGGGGGCCCCCACCGGTGAGTTATAAAGGAGGTGTTTTGGTGTACGTACACCGCAGATGAATTAAAATGAATAAATAAAATTTAAATCTTTATTACCCAACTTGATAGGGGCCCCCCTAAGGGGCCCCTGACCCTCCGCTTGCTGGGGGCCCCTGGGGGCCCCCTGCTGCTGCTCTGGGGGCCCCTTTGCTGCTGAATTGCTTTTTGATGAGTTCAAAGGTAACACGCTGTTATTTCTTTATATTAGTTGCATTGGTCGTGGGAGGGTTTAGGGTTTAGGGTTTAGAGTTATGTGTGTAGAGTTACGGTTTAGGGTTTAGGGTTTAGGTTTTAGTGTGTAGGGTTAGGGTTTAGGGTTTAGGGTTAAATGTATACGGTTAGGGTTTAGGCCTTAGGGTTTAGAGTTTAATGTGTATGGTTAGGGTTAAGGGTTTAGGGTTTAGGGTTTAGCAGCAGGGCATATCACACACTAAGTTCCCAATATCAAACATTAACTGCAACAGCAGCAGCAGCAGCAGCAGCAGCGGCAGCAGCATTTGTCTCTGCTGCTGTTGCTACCAGATCGACAACGGGTGCTAAAGCTGCAGCAGCAGCCGCAGCAGTCCTGCAGCAGCAGCAAATCATACCTTGCTGCACCATGCTGCTGCCTGCTCGCGCTTGTGCTGCAGCGTAGGAACTCACAAGCCCCCAGCAGCAGCAGCAGCAGCAGCAGCAGCAGCAGCAGCAGTGGCAGGGCTTTGCACTGTTTAGGTCTTCAGGTCTACAGCTAGCTGTATATAACTGCACAGTTAGCTGGCTGTCTCCAACAGCACAGTTAGCTGCCTAGCTAGCTGCCTAGCTAGCTGCCTAACTGGCGCTAGCTGCCTAGCTAGGTGCCTAGCTAGCTGCCTAGCTGGCGCTAGCTGCCTAGCTAGCTGCCTGGCTAGCTGCCTAGCTAGCTGCCTAGCTAGCTGTTGGCATACGTCCGGGGTTCATCTCTGAAGGGGCTGAGACTTCTTAAAAGGAGACACTAATTACTCTCCTTTGTCTGTCTCCATCAGTTAGACAAGAGACACTGGTTATTAAGAAGAGACCTTTAATTGTTTGTTATTAAGAAGAGACATTTAGTTGTTACAAGAGGAGGAGACACTTAATTGTTATTATGAAGAGACACTTAATTAAGAGGAGACACTTATTATTAAGAGGAGACACTTAATTGTTATTAAGAAGAGACACTTACTATAGAGAGGAGACACTTATTATTAAGAAGAGACACTTACCATTAAGAGGAGACACCTGTTAATACGTGAAGACGCTTTAAGAGGAGACAGCGGTTATTACGAGGAGACACCTGTTATTACAAGGAGACACTTATTATCAAGGAGACACTTATTATTAAGAGGAGGCAGTTATTATTAAGAGGAGACACTTGATAGTTATTAAGAGGAGACACTTATTATTGAGAGGAGACACTTGATAGTTCTTAAGAGGAGACACCTATTATTGAGAGGAGACACTTGATAGTTATTAAGAGGAGACACTTGATAGTTATTAAGAGGAGACACT